CCGCCGGGGCGCCGCGACCCTGGGCCACCATCGCACCCACCTACAGCGACTAGCACCTGCCTCCCCTGGCTCCACTTTGCACTGTTCTCCTCTGTACCTTGCACTCTTGGGCCTTGCACCACCCACCTTCTGCTTTGCACCCTTCTCCCTCCGGGCCTTACTAAAAAATAAAAGATGGAGGCCCACTTCCTTATAACCCAATTGTTATATCATCAATCGTTATACCGTGCACCACATCGCACATAGCAATGTGTGCCCCACGCCTCCCCAAACGACGTCGTTTTATTAAGTTGTGTGGGAAATTGATGCGTTTATAAAATTCTGTACATTCGAAACATGGGAATTTTTTTTAAAGAGTTAAGAGTTTATGTGTATTATGTATTATGTTAGATTATGTGTACTATCCTTTCAAAAAAAGATTATGTGTATTCTGTTATAAAATTATGTACATTCTATTATACAATTCTGTGTATTCTATTATACAATTTTGTACATTCGAAACATGAGAATTTTTTTAAAAAAGAAGTTAACAGACACACGAAATGTACAAAACGACGTCGTGTTTGGGCCAAGGCGCACAATGCATTGTGTGTCCTAAGAAGGACATGTTTCGTATGTACATAGTTGTATAGTAGAATACACATTATATGCATTATTACAATGTAGCGATTGTTGTTCATAACTTCTTCTCGACCTACTGAAGCATAAAGAGCCAATAACGCATCCTGAGGTTCAAAGTTCAAACTCATAACTTTCCATATGAGAATCCAACCCCGGTACCATTAGACCACAATGTCATAGCGGGGAAATAGAACTGGAATTTAATAAAAAAAATTATTGAGAAAATTAATTATATTATTTGGGTGGTAGAAAATAAATTACTGGGTATATTGATTCCATTGTTTGGTTGGGTTTGAAATTATAAGGAATAATGAGTATAAAGACAATTATACTCTTACACAATAATAACAATAATAATAGAGTTATTTTCATTTTTGTTCTTAGATTTATATGTGACAGTTCACTTTTAGTCCCTTTTTATCAGAAAATCCACTTTTGGTCCTAAAGTATTATTGTGACATGATCATTTTTGATCCTCTATTAACAAAACAGTTTAAATGTCGTTAAATACAAAGATATTTCGGTTTTCAATTGTGAATTTTTCAAAAAATAAAAAATACTCCTAAGAAATATAGTAGGTCAACTTACTTTGTATAAAAAAAAGATCTAAATGTCATTATATTTAACGACATTTCAACGATTTTGTTGACGGATGACAAAAAATGGTTATGTCACAATAATACTAGGATCAACTAAGGATGTTCTGATAATAATAAAAAAAGGACTAAAATGGGCTGTCACCTATAAATCTAATATCAAAAATGGAATTAACTCACAATAATAATGGTAATTAAGAAAAATTGGTAAAGGCATAATTGTCCTACTTGTTTTCCATGGAAAACAAAATACCGAGGGGGGCATAAAAGTATTCTCATTCTTGAGGAAAATGTTTTCCAATAAAAAATATTTTCTATGAACCAAACAAAGGAAAAATTAACTTTTCTCAATTCAAAAAAAACATTTTTTTAAAAAAACATTTTCTAGCGAACCAAACATACCCTTAGGTGACAAAAATTTGCAGGATGGTAATTACTATTGTTGATGATAGTTACAAATAGATTGATTAATTTACAGAACGGTAAAATTTGTAATACAAATATTTTAGAATGACTCCTGAAGACTATCTTGGATATACAATACTAATTAATAATAAAGTGATTGTTACTTAGGAAACTTGTAATACTTTTGAGAAAACATACAATACATTTAAATCAAAATGTAAAAATATTATATATATATATATATATATATATATATATATTTAAGTATTATATTTTTTTTACAAGTAACAAATACTTTATTACTGATTAGTATTACATTTTTTAGTATAAATATTATATTTTCATCTTGACCCGACTCGTCTTAACGGAGATTTGTTCGTGAGACGGTCTAACACAAGTTTATGCCAATATTTGATAATCTAAACATACTATATTTTCTAGGAGGTAGGGGATAAAATTACAATAAATTAAAATAGATTTGAAGTTGATGGGGTAAAATCAGCCTAATACTGTTTGGGTCGGGTCGCATAATAAATGAGACTGGAGATAAATGAAAGGGCGAGTGGATGGCTCCTTGAGCAGCCCGAGACTATATCAGTGGAGCGATAGGGTTTGCACATGATCTCATAAGCAGATTTCGCGGGACATGCCAGAGCAGTAAGCAAAGTATATTAATGGGAGCGAGGAAGCAAATCAAATGTATTCATGGCAATAAAAGCTTACCTAAATTAATCCCATTAATGCGGGAATAAATACCCCCTTGTAAACCCTACAAAGGGTTAAGCTCTTCATCTTCCGACAATAAAGACAACATTAACTTTTCTGTCTGTGGGGAACGATACAAGAAGCCGTGTCACCCTACCTGATCAAAGATTTTGAAACTAAGTGATAGTAAGAACAAGGAAAACCCTAAAAACTACTGGCCAGAACCAAGTGCCACAAGAACAAGATCTTCGGGAGCAATTTAGTCGCCAAAATTCTCGTGAGCAGAAACCCTCAGTCAACAATCGTTCAAAGGAACCCCCACGTTAAGAGGGATCCACAGGCAACGCACCGCTGGCACCAACTTGAAATACCTTTGCTGAGGTAATAAACCAAGCCTTAGACCTTTATGAGCGAGAATTAAATTTGCGAGCGAGTTCACCAGAGGGTGCCCCTGCCCCTCCTCCCGTCCCGCGAGCGACCGAGGACCCACCCCCTCAAATTGGGCAGGGTGGATTGCGATCGCTCAACGCCTTCTCACGGTTCCCCTATTCGCTCAATACTGGGTCCTGCGACCACCCATATATATATATATATATATATATATATATATATATATATATATGTATGTATGAAATTTCCATCCAAGATTTAATAGTTGGTCCATTCTGAGCCTTGGTAAAGTCCATCTTGTTGCAATAGAAGGCGCTTTCCGATCTACGGTCCCTTGGAGCGAAGGGTTAGGCAGGTAGAAAAGTGTGGAAGTTGCTTTACTGGAAGATGGATTCTACGGTCCCTTGGAGCGAAGGGTTAGGCAGGTAGAAAAGTGTGGAAGTTGCTTTACTGGAAGATGGATTCAATGCCGATCGTATCATATATATATATATATATATATATATATATATATATATATATAACATTTAATATACTAAAAGTAAACATTCAATATACTAAAAATGAATATGTATGTCAGTGACCCATATATTATTTATAATATATGAAATGTTCATTTTTAAATATATTACTTAAAAATGAAATATACAAAAAATTAATGTTGAAAAAATCGCTAGGCGCCTGGGGACTGTCTAGGGTGCCTAGAGCGCCTAGGCGGGCGCCTAGGAGACCGGCCGCCAAGCGCATAGGTGCGATTTTTGCAACAGTGCTAAAAATTAACATAATCAACGACCCACATTGTAATATGGATAATGTTCTAAAATATAATTTTTCTTGTTTGGTCTATAAATGGTTTTGTGCCATTATTATTACTAGTATTTGTCCCGTGCAATGCACGGAAAATATGTTATAAAAATATACCCTATATGAGGTTTATTCATATATAAAATTTTTGTTATTTAATAATTATTATGTGTGAATTCCTATGATAAAATTATGAACATAAATATATTTACAATTAAAATAATATTTAAGGTGGGTGATTACTACAAATCTTAAACTATATTAAAAATTTAGTACATAGTATTTAATATTACAAATTTTTAAGAACTTAGTAAACTACAAATAGTAATTGAATTACAATTTTAGAGTCACCACGGATCAAAATTTTTAGACCTTTGAGATTTCTAACTCTAGATGTAGCAACATACAATTGACCTTTAAAGACTAAAATCACAATCTTAGTTCGAACATTGATTTTTTCTTTCAAATACTATCGAATTAAGTGTGTAATCAATAAAAGATGAGAACTAATAATTCGAGAATATAATCTTAATGTTACTAAGCCACTTCACGTCAATTAAGTTGGAGAGTGTTGTTGGATAGTATCCGATGAATCCACGAATAACGCATCTTTGTCTCCGTAGTCCTCAATATGCACATCAACAATCTTAAATATTAGGCCGCCTAGCTATGCCATATATTAATTTCAAACTTATGAACTTTGGGGTTGCATGCAATAAAAAGTATATTTTAAATATACTAAGGGTACATTATATATGTATGTAAGGTACTTTCAATATAAAAATAATGTATTTTTAATATATTAAAAATGTATTTGATATTCATGATCCATACAATTATGTGGACCATCATTCACACAATAATTTGCCAGTAGAAATTGAAATATAAATAAATATAATAAATAAATAAATAAATAAATAAATAAATAAATAAATAAATATATATATATATATATATATATATATATATATATATATATTAGAAACTGTCCGTGGAAATTATTATCATCATCATTATTATTATTATTATTATTATTATTGTTATTATAATTAACAATATTATTATGGTTTTGTGAAAATTAAATGTTGATTATCAACATTTAATTTTCACAATAACAATATTATTATGGTCTTGTGAAAATTAAATGTTGATTATCACCATTTAATTTTCACAAGACCATATGACTTTATTATATATAGGATTACATGTGTGTGGACCATATATAAAAAATACATTATTAAAATATTAAAAGTACATTATTTGTGTACAATAAATACATTAAGTTTATATACTATCAAATAATGTACATTTAATATGCAAATAATGTACTTTTAATATATTAAAAATGTAAATTATATTAATGATTTACACAGCTATGTGTACCATGATCCACATAATAATTTGCTTATTTTGTGTTCAAAGCTCTTGGGCGGGAGTTCATTACAAAATGACCCGAACCCAATTTCGTTTGTATAAAGTGTCGAAACTTGGCTCTTTCACTCCACTCTTAACAACTCTCTGAGCCTCTTTTCTCCTCGGTACTCTTGACAGCTTCTGGTTTGTTCTCTGTTCTTGTAATTTAAGTTAATCCTTAGGGAAGAATTTCTTTCTTTCTTTATTTAGTTATTTATTTTACCATGTTTATTTCTCATTTTGGATCTGATACTTCTCTTGATACTTCTGATCAATGTTTCTGTAGTGAATGATATGTGGGTATTTGATCAACTTTTGTCCAAAATTGAGTTACAGTTGACTACCAGAATCTGTGTTTTTGTATAATCAGTCTATTGATTTGATTAATTAAAGTTTTCGAAGCCAGAAAAACTGTCTTGATATTGAGATCCATATGCAAAAAGAAGTTAACAATACCTTTTCAATTTATATGAATTTTGCCCATATTGGGCTACTATCTCAGTGGAAAATAGTGGGTTAGGTGAACAGGATTAGCAAACTTTTATTGAATTCTAGTGTTCTCTTTTGACCTATTATTTATTTGTATTGTAGATATATATTCATGCTATTATGCATTTATGCAATGTGTTTTCAATGTTTGTGTTTATGAATGGATTCCTCTTTTCTCTGTATTGACAGGATTTGTCACATTAATATCTGGAAATGGCTGTCACATTCTACAACCTCAACTCAGATGCTGGTCTCAAGAAGCTTGATGAGTACCTCCTTACACGTAGTTACATTACTGGGTGGGTCGCTATTTGCTGTTGCTTTTTATGGTTGTGTTTGTTGAGCATATAACCGTTAATGTGCAATCCAACTGTCAGCTTAGGTTTTTAGTTGAGATGGAGCACATCCTTCAATTTGGTATCAGAGCCAGACCAAAGGACATGCTTCAATTGTGTTCCCATCTTAATTCATCTTATTAATTACTTCTCAGGTATCAAGCTTCCAAGGATGACATCACAGTATATTCGTCACTTCCCAAGCCCCCATCATCTGAATATGTCAACGTTTCTCGGTGGTACAAACACATTGATGCACTTTTGAGGATCTCGTAAGTTCTAACTACTTAGAACAACTTTCAATTTAGGTTTTATGATTTGAATTTCAAATTGTGCGACAGTATGCTAAGAACCCACCCTCTGTTTACTTCACTTTTACGTGTATACAATACATAATTCTCTGATATTACCAATTTATTTTCATCAGTGGTGTATCTGGAGAAGGTTGTGGTGTAACCATTGAAGGTTCTGCACCTATCCCTGCGGGCGTGGTAACACCACCTGCCGCTGACACAAAGGCTGTTGAAGAACGTGTTGCAGTTATTAAGGCTTCAAGCAAAACGAAAGAGTGTAAGTTTCTCCGTTTACATTAATTGAATAATTATTTTATTTTTAGAAATATTAATGGATATAAAATGGATAATAATAAAATGTTGTTGATGATGAATACCCCTGTTTAGTAACTTACCTGGGGTTTGCTATCTCAGCTGGAAAGTCCTCGGTTCTTTTGGATGTGAAGCCATGGGATGACGAGACTGATATGAAAAAGCTCGAGGAAGCTGTTAGAAGTGTTTCGATGGAAGGATTACTCTGGGGAGCATGTATGTTGGACCATAAAAATACAGATTAAATTTCAATTAAGATTATTGCCCGTTAGACTAACTAGGTTCATAACTGTTGACTATTTATTTACTTTTTTTTTTTGCAGCTAAACTTGTTCCGGTTGGGTCTGGTATTAAGAAACTACGAATTATGCTCACCATTGTGGATGACCTCGTGTCCGTGGATGAACTTATTGAGAATTATCTCACTGTTGAACCTGTCAACGAGTATGTCCAGAGCTGCGATCTCGTTGCTTTCCACAAGATATGTAAGCTCACTTGTCCTTCGATTCTTCTTTTAATTAATGGCTACAAAGTGTGATCATTGAGTTTTACATTCAAATGTATGAAAGGCATATATAGTACAACAGTATGATGCTCTCTCGATGAAATATTGAAATCTGGGGGCGATGTTTTTATTTTAGGTAATTCGTGGCGCGTTCCGTCCATTTCCATAGGCGCTAATGGTTCTTCTAGAGTTTTCGAGAAGGTTCAAACGACCAAAAGGACCTTTGCTGAGACGGGGACGAAGGCTCCACGTTTTGGAGATGAAGTGATGGAGGAGGCAGGCGGTATAAACTGGTTTGAAGAGGAAATCCTGGTGGAATCTGACAGTGAGGACGAAGAGGAAGAGGAAGAGGAAGAGGAGACTCGGGATGGCATTCCTGTCATCAAAATTTCTAAAGACATGAGGAAGAAACTCATCCAGCCTTGGAAAAACGCCCTCATCTTGAAATTTCCAGGCAAGAGAATCAATTTCCCAGTCTTTAAACGCAAACTCCTACGAATGTGGGTGCCACAAGGGAGGCTAGAAGTGATTGATCTGGGATTTAAATTCTTTGTGGCACGTTTTGAATTGGAGAAGGATTGCATGCGGGTGCTGTTTGAAGGACCTTGGAAAGTCTTCGATCGTTATGTGGTTCTGCAGCGTTGGAAGCCAAACTTCGATCAGGCGAATACAAAGGCCGAGAATATGGCGGTCTGTGTTCGATTACCGGGACTGTCAATGGAGTCTTTCAGTGAAGATATAATCAAGCATATATTGTATCAGGTGGGCACGCCCTTGAAACTCGATCGGACTACAGCTGGGGTGGAGAGGGGTTGTTTTGTGCGGGCCGTGATCGAGATTGATCTATCTAAACCTTTAGTCTCCACGGTTAACATTGGGAGCAAGATAGAGAGGATCGAATTCGAGGGACTTCATACAATCTGTTTCGGGTGTGGGGAGGTCAGCCACCTTTCGAATGACTGCCCTAAAAAACCACGTGAACAACCTCAAGATAAGCAGCCACAAAATAACTCGATGTACGGTCCTTGGATGTTGGTGCAACCTAAAGGAAAAACTCGAACCGTGTCGAAAAAGAAACAAGCTGGCAGCAACAGAACCTCAGTGGCTAACAGGTTTACCGCCATCTAGGAAGGACATATTGAAGAACTGGAAACGCCGGTTGAGCAAGCCGCCAAGGGAGGGCAACGTGTTGACAGTTCCCCGGTGAAGTCAGGTGACAATTTGTCAACTTTCAAACTTGCTCCTGTTGATTTAAACAACTTTCCTTTGCAGAATTGCAGGTGGATGATGGATCTCATGAGGCCCCCCCAAGGCTGGTAAAGGGAAGAATAAATCCCAGAGGAACAGAGAAGTGGTGGTAGGACGTGTGAATTAGATGATTTACTAATTAGAGGTTTTTTTTAGCAGTTTTAGCAGCCAGCTTTAAATCCTAGGGGAACAGAGAAGTGGTGGTATCACAGTTTTAGCAGCCAGCTTATTAGAGCATTTAAATTTCTTACCATGATTCTGAAAAAGTGCTCTTACTAATTAGAGGAAATTTTACTTTTTAAAAAAGAAATGAAATAGAAAATATGTTTTGTTTACATATTTCTTCAATTTACAAGGCAGAAGATTGTAAAATAATTTGACAAATGAAACAATTAAAGATTTTTTTTTGTTTTTAAAAATAAATAATAAATAATAAATAATAAATTAATGAATGAAAGATGGAGAATATTTTTATTTATCAAATAGCAAAGAATACAATTAGAAACTTATATATAATTTGCAATTTTTTTTTAAAAAAATTCAAGTGTTGTTTAGAAATTTAGAATGTCTTTTTCTTTTATTGGCTGTTTGATTCGTGGCGCGGAAAATATTTAAGGGAAAATAGAATTGAAACTCTATAGAAAAGAGATTATTGTAAAAATTAATTACATTATTTGGTTGGTGGAAAATAAATTATGAATGTTGATTTCATTGTTTGGTAATTACTTTGGCTGGGTTTGGAATTATAAGGAATAATGAATATAAAGACAATTATATTTCTACACAATAATAAAATCAATAATAGGGTTGGGGTTCAACCTTTAGGATGAATAATAAAATCAATAATAATAATAATGGTAATTAATAAAAGATGGAGAGTGCATAATTGTCTTACTTGTTTTTTATGGAAAACAAAATACCATGGCGGGCTATGAAAAATATTTTCCTCATCCGTGAAAAAAGTCAATATTTCTCAAATTCAAGGAAAACATTTTCTTTAGCGAACCAACCATTCTCTTAAATGACAGAAAAAATTGCTAGATGGTAATTACTATTGTTGATGCTAGTTACAAATAGATTGATTAATTTACAGAATGGCAAATTTGTGATACAAATATTTTAGAAGAGTTTTTTGCACTTTTAGTCCCACGACTATAGTGGCACTGGCAGAATTGGTCCACGACTTTTGAACCTTGCAATTTTAGTCCACGACTATTGATTTTTTTGCAAAAATGGTCCTTCCGGCCACTTTTCCGTCAAAATTTCACCAGAAAAAAAAAATTCTCTATTTTTACTTATCTCAAAAAATTAAAAGAAAAAAATTGATATTTGACTACATACAATATTACTGAGCTACATACTACTGCCCAGGCGGCGGAGTTCCTGGAGCAGGCAGGGCTGTCAGTAAGCGGCGGAGTGGTCGTGGCGTTCCCCAGGCTAGTTGGGTTATCCGGCAGCAGCATTGGAGTGGTACATATACTCCGCCGCCTGGGGCAGTAGTATGTAGCCCAGTAATATTGTATGTAGTCAAATATCAATTTTTTTCTTTTAATTTTTTGAGATAAGTAAAATGTCAATTTTAACCCGGCTAAAATGGAGAATTTTTTTTTCCGGTGAAATTTTGACGGAAAAGTGGCCGGAAGGACCATTTTTGCAAAAAAATCAATAGTCGTGGACTAAAATTGCAAGGTTCAAAAGTCGTGGATCAATTCTGTCATTGCCACTATAGTCGTGGGACTAAAAATGCAAAAAACTCTATTTTAGAATGACTCCTCAAGGCTGTCTTGGATATATAATATTAATTAATAATAAAATGATTGTTATTTATACGGGAAATTATAATATTTTTAAATTAAAATGTAAAAGTATTACATTTTTCTTCAAAATTATTATACTTTCTCTTACAAGTAACAAATACTTTATTCCTAATTAATATTACATTTTTAGTAATATTACATTTTCATCTTGACCTGATTTGTCTCACAGACATTTGTAAGTGAGACGGTCTAACACAAGTCTTTGTCAATATTTGATAGTCTAAACATACTACATTTTCTAGGAGGCAAGGGATAAAATTACAATAAATTAAAAGAGATTTTGAAATGACAACAAATAAAACAAGATTTTGTATTTAAAAAAAAAATCGTATGGGTAAAATTAAAATTTCCTATAAGAAATATAAAAACATCCTAATAATTGTGTGAAAACAAAGAAAACTAAGTATGCTCCCAATGATAGTGCTTGCTTGTGTATGAGTTTATAGGAAAAGTATTTTGTTTTCAAACTATGATAGAAGAAAAATAATTAATATGAACAAATGAAACGTTGTTAGCAGCCAAAACACATCCTCCATTGTCTCCTCTTCCTTGAGAATCTCCTATTCCTATCCACATCTGCCATCCTCATAGGGCTGCCATTCCAATCCGATGCTAATCTGTTTCATACAATATTCAAAAAAGAAAGAAGAAAAAAAAAAACATTGTTAAAAGAGCTTTGGATGATAACTCTTGGAAATGAATGGATAATAAATAATTAATTGAAGGATGTATTTTGTTAACTAATAGTTAGACTATACATTTGCTAATGATTTTGTGGTCTAGTGACTTTAAGTGACTCAGATTTGATCCCCCAATGGAGAAAAAATAAATTAAATTATCAAGAAGATTGATTCCATTGTTTCCCGTATACAACAATAATAATAAAGAAAGTTCCGTGCATGAGGACAAAATTGTCCAACCAAATGAGCAAAGAATTAAAACTTTTTTTTCATGAAAAACAAAATACTAATGTTCGACAAATAATTTTTTTTCCCTCAAATTTAAAGATGGAAAATGCTTTCTTCCCCTCCTAAATTTCACCTCCAATATTTTCCCTCATGACATTCATTCATTGGGTGCTATAAATTGGTTGGCTCCACTATTTATTAAAAATCAAAAATAGAATTTAATTACCCATTAGATACTATCACTGTCATAAGGGATGTATTTGAGGGAAAAAATATCAGGGTCTCTTGCATTACTCTTTAAAGAATTCTACTTCCTTCCAAAAAGAAATTTCATGAACCAGAGAAAATAAATTTCTTGAAAAAATAACTTTCCTCAAATTTTAAGAAAATGACTTTCTTGGAAAATATTTTCAATCCAACCAAACGTGTTCTAAAATGAGTTGTTTTTTTTCCTTTTTTTTTTTTTGAAATATTTGATTTTTTATAAGGTAGTATATGTTCTATACTTTTTCAAATATTTTCAGCTCAAAAAATCTAAACCCTACAACTAAAGTTTGAACCTATTATCATTTAGAATGATAACCGGGATGTTATCACAATGGTAATGAAAGATAGGATAGACTTACATGGGGAAAGCAAAGGATCGGGTGCTGGTGGTGCTGTTTGACCGAAAAGACATGGTGTCATAACAAGACGATGATCCTCCTGGGACTATCAGGTGCCCTGAAGAAGAAGACGAAATCGAGTCTCTGTGATCCATCTGTTGAATGGAAAACAACGCCGCCAGACTTTTAGGCCTCTCATCTCCGCCGCCAACCTCGCCGCCGGCCGACATCTCCTCAATCCTCGAATAACGTTGTTGTTCAACTCCCAAACTCTGCGGCGTGTTCTTCTCACTTTTGCCCACCGATTCACCCTTCATATTCCCACCACTCTTGCAAAAGGCTAGCAACGGCATGAATGGCTTCACACTTGGATCCTACAACAAATCAAATCAAATCAAATACGAAAACCCGAAACTGCCAACTACTATATAGTGTGATGACACTTTTGTAACAATTTTGCGGGAGTTACAAGCCCGGATGAGGTTTGTATTAGGTAATGATTAAACAGAATTTACAAAATTGAGAAAGTATAGAACAGATTCGAGATTCTTGAATATACCTGAGTATCTTTTTCGTTGTCGGGACATGGATTCGAACCGGGCTTATCCTCCTCGAATCGGGTGTGATTAATCTCTGGGGCTGAACCGGAATCCATCAAGATTCAAGAACACCCGACCACAACTGCAGATTTCATCAGCAACACCACCCTCATTGAGTTCAAGTGTGAACAAAGATTGCGATGTGCCACTAGAAATTAAATATAATGTTGTTTTTTTTTTTTTTTTATGGACTAGGAAACTGTGTGTCGGGCCCTTCCAACTAAGATTGAAGAGATTGTGGTTTTTCTTTTGCGTAGGCAAATGAAAACACTCTGTCATCAGCCTGTGTACTTTTCTTGTACAGTTCACATTTAAGTAGGCAATGGCATTAAATTAAATGCATATATATATATATATATATATATATATATATATATATATTGTACAGTTCACATTTAAGTAGGCAATGGCATTAAATTAAATGCATATATATATATATATATATATATATATATATATATATATATATATATATATATATATATATATATATATAATGTTACAGCTCATATTCTGAATGTAACATCTGTATTGAGAATGATCTTTCCCCCAATGAGAAAAGGTCTTGGCATATCATATATTGCCACTCAAGAACCACTTTTGGAAACCCCACACAATAAACCAGGCTATATATTGCTAATCATTTGGTGTCCGGCCTTATTAGGTGGACCGTTGAGAGAAAATTCACCAAGACTCTCTCTCTATTTATTTTATTTTAAAAAAAAGGATCAAATAGGTCCTCAAACTTTTAAAGAATTAGACAATTCATAGACCTTTAAACATTAAGTAATTAGTTCTAATTAAGTACCTTAACAAATCATTTCAATGTATTAAGACCCATTAATTGGCCGGTAATTCTACTAATTATATCGGTACTGTCATGTTTGTCGTGCCTTCCATAGATTGATTTGAGACAGGCAACGCGATGGTCGCTTCCTCAATTGAAGGAGGCCAAGGTTACTTTCTTTGACTAAAGACGCCCGCAATCAACCACAGTTGGACGATGGTTGGTGGGCAGTCATGTAAACAAAAATCATAACATGTCAACATGTTGGTTACCAGCAAACAAGGTTTAAATCATTAGATGAATGATTTCAGTAAATTTGAGTGTTTAATTATAATTTTTTAAAGTTCAAACACTTAATTACTTTTTTCGTAAAAAATTGAAGGGTCTATTTGATCCTTTCCCTTTTATTGTTTTGATACCCTTTTATTGTTTTGATACTAACGGTTCACCAATAGGATTCTCAATGACTAGTTGATCAACTAGTTTTTTTTTTTTTTTTTTTTTTTTTTTTTTTTTTTGGGGGAGTAGAGCACTCTGTCTCCGGTAAGATGACTTCTTCTCCAACATGAAGGTGAAGTGAGGGAGGAGGAGGTCACATTAACAATTATTTTTTGACTTGTTCAAAAAGTTAATTGTATTAAAAAAAATGATGACTCACTTGAATTTTTGTATGTTGTTCAATGATTATATATATATATATATATATATATATATATATACTAGAATTATACATGCACAATTCTTACAAGCAAGTTAAAAATATTCATCAATGATCTCAATTAGCAAAACTAATGGTGACTACTAAAAAAGACGAGATGTTGACAAAATGAAAATCACCGCTACACAAATATACATGACCTAAATAGAATATTATAATGTTAATTACCTAATTCAAAAATAATAATGAATTACCGTATCCACCAAGAAAAGCATGATCATATCGGTCATTATAGCCACCAAGATTTCAATTAACACAACGCACACACATACATATATTCATTAGGACAGACGTTATGCCATGGAACCGTGAGAATGGTGAACACGGTTCTAACGGTGTTAGTACACCGTTACTTTTTTTTTTATTTTTTTATTTTTTTATTTTTTTTAATAATTAATTGCGTGACTTTTCTTCTTTTATTTTCACATTTTGCGGTTTCACTTTAATTTGAGGTGAACAAAAATTTCGGACATTCATAAATTATGAATTAATGCCTGCACATTCACTTTGGAACCCTGCCTACACATTCCCGTCCGAAATCACGGACATTCATAAATTATGAATCCATGGCTGCACATTCACTTTGGAACCATACCTACACATTCACTTTGGAACCATGAGATTATGAATTTTCTGTTATAAGACTATGAATTTTCTATTATGAGATTATGAATTTTATGTTATGCGATTATGAATTTTCTGTTATGAGATTATGAATTTTCATTACATTCATAATTTCGGACATTCATAAATTATGAATTCATGCCTGCACATTCACTTTGGAACCATGCCTACATATTCCCGTCCGAAATCACGGACATTCATAAATTATGAATCCATGCCTGCACATTCACTTTGGAACCATGCCTACACATTCACTTTGGAACCATGAGATTATGAATTTTCTGTTATAAGATTATGAATTTTCTGTTATAAGATTATGAATTTTCTGTTATAAGATTATGAATTTTCTGTTATGAGATTATGAATTTTCAGTTGTGAGATTATGAATTTTCTGTTATGCGATTATGAATTTTCTGTTATGAGATTATGAATTTTCATAAAATTCATAATCTCATAACAGAAAATTCATAATTTGATCAAACGCGCGCCGTTAACTCCACATCCGCGAAATTTTTTTTTGGCCTAAAAACGACGTCGTTTTGCCTTGTGTTCACCATTCTCAGTGAACACGATTCCATGGCATAATTTGCGTCATTAGGAAGATTAGACTTAATTCCAAGTCAAATATAGACCACGAGATATCTTATTAACTCCTAACTATAAGAGACACCTTTAATATAATTTTGTACTCAGATTAATCCCGTTTACAACAGGCTTGAAAGTGTAGGGCTACTCATGCTAACCAAGCTAGTTAAAAGTTATTTATTGATACATAGCTAAAACCAAACTTTGTTTAGAAGACAAATATATATTACTCCAAGATTTATAGGCAATTTATATCATGGACCAAGTTCCACATAACATTATGGATCCTAAATTGAAACGATGAGGTACAAAATTCATATTCGTAAAGTACAAAATTTCATAACACAAAATACAAAAATCACAACACAAGACACACACACATGTTATATATTTACTTATTTTTCAAATCTAATTTAGGTACATAATTTGTGTTCATAAACACAGAATTTTACAAACACAAGACACATAAATTCATAATATATGACACAATTACTAATTTGTTTCAAATACAAAATTCATACACTCATAAGATACAGAATTTTATAACATTTAAGACACAAAAAACTCACAAGACATATACATACACCAGGTCCACCATGAACTCTAGTCAGTGGTATAAGGATTGAGATTATAACCACCAAAAAAAAATTACTCCAAGATTTATTCTTTTTATGCCGGAAATTTACTAATTATAATCCAGCAGTGTAGGTATATGAAAGAAAGACCTTTCAAAAAAAAAAAAAATCAAAAAAAGAAAGAAAGAAAGAATTCCCCAAAAAAGCTGAGAAGTGAATATCATAATGAAAAGGGAAATGGAAATTAGCAGCACAACAAAAAAACCAGACAACATAAGATATAAGAAAACAACGATAATCCGAGGAACAACGGAGCTTACCGGTTAGAAAATCAGAGCATCATATCATATCATATCTGATCTGATCTGCAAATTTCTGTGATTCAATTCTCTGCTCTCTTCCAGTTTGTTTTGAGAATTGAAGAATTAACGTACTAAACTGAAGGCAGATAAAACCGCAGAAAGGAACAGTTCAAATGCAATAAAATTAGAAGGGGCCGCCTGGGTGGGATGAGGTACTATATATTATATTTATTATGAGTCAACTCGTACAAAATAAATTCCTGCATGGACACGTACCAAACATAGCTTAAAATAGATAACAAAAATTACAATTAAGAAGTTACCTAATACTATAGATTTTAATATGTAACAGTACCACGCCCCCCTCAGTTTGGAAAATCTATTCAGTTGACAGCGTACGTTTTCAATTATACTGTCCTAATTCTAGCAGACTCTTATTATAAATATACCTACTAAATTATATAAGGTTCTAATGGAAATATAAAATATGTTACTGTAATTATTTTCATCGTTAACTTATACATTTTGATTTCTTCTTTGTACAATAATATAAGATATTTTTTAAAGAGTTAATTCTCCACCAAAGTTTTTCTGACTATAGTGATTTTTCATATTTGATCATCGTTTTTTAATTTGGAGAAATGTGACACTTAAATATCAAAATCTTTTCATCATTGGTCCTTCTATCACCTCAACAACGTTATTTAGACGTCAGTTTTAAGGGTCAAATTGTCCTTTCATTTTCTAGGTATCTCCTTCCTCTTCGTTCCCCTCCTCAATTGTGAAAATATCACTATAATTAGATGGCCTTTGCTGGAATTAACTTTTTTCAAAATTATAATCTTTCCTTTTTTTGCTTTTCATTTATAGACACGCTTTGGTACCTGAATATTTCTTTAATTTATTATTTTTCTCAACTTGACCCATTGCAAAATATGGAGTAATAATTTCTAATCTTTTATTTACTAATAATAATAATAATGGGTATTTTTTTATATTATTTTTACTGTAATAATTAAATCATTGTATACAAAAAGGAACTCGTTACTTTTTTTATATTCTTTTTATTGCAACTCTTTTTTTTTTTTTTTGGGTGGTAAAAATTAAAATATAACAATATTTACTTAATTTGATATGTTTCTTGTGACTATTAAAAAAATGAGATATTATTTTTGAATTATCATCCTAAAAGAATATGGATGCCATACTAGAGTATAATTATTCTAAAAATACATTGTATTCTCTTTATTTAAATCAAACAGTATTTGTTGTAGCACAAATTTTAATTTTCTATTCCAAAATTATATTGTTTTAAATAAAATATAAATTTTATTACATGTTGATTTACTATGTCTGGGTGGCTGGGATAAAATTTCTCTCCACGTACTTAAAGAATTTAATTGTAAAAATTTCATTATCTAATCAATTTTTTAGGGAAAAAAATTAATATTATAAAATATCAAAGAGAGTTTGCAAGATGAAACCGTTCACATATAATGACAATTGAGGTCTCAATCATTTACACAAGGAAACCTATGAATTCATACGCTATAACTTCATTACATAACTCTTTAGTTATTCTTCAACAACATCAATAAGCATATTATAATTATGTCATTTTTAACAAAAATAAGTTAATTTTTACTGACTCATCGATAGTCATATATATATATATATATATATATATATATATATATATATATATATATATATATCGTATTAAGAAGACTTAATTTATTTTAATATAAAAATTGTTAGGACACGATTTTTATTTTCGATTATAACTATCTATAGCAATACATATCTTTACTACAAAATACTTTTATCACAAGTTGAAAATACTCATCTTGATTATATTGAAAATAATCATTTCTATTTTATATTAAATAAATTTCATATTTAAAAATTATATTAATTATTTATTTATTTTAATTTTCATATGTGACATTAACTTAATCGCGCAATGCGCGGATTATAACTAGTAAATAAAGAAAGAGCAAACTCCTAATTTCAATCATTATACCGTAGACTATTAACATACATATTTATTTTTAATATAATGAAAATTCATTTTTAGTGTACTATAAGTTTATTTCTTGAATGTTTATTTTTAATGTACTATCTAAAAATGAATTTATAAAACATTAAAATTAAATATTTAATATATTAAAAATAACATGGTGAAGTATAATTTGTCTCCTAATTTAAGGTAAATTTATCGGTTATTCTCGTTTAATATGCAATTTATACAAATTTATTATTGTTGATTTTTGGAATGATTGCCAAACACCACCAATTTAATGAGTGGTCCAATAATTAAATATGGGAATAGTAAATCAAAGGAACAATGTATAAGGCTAGCAACAAGTAATTAAGGGCAATTAAGTAATAATGAAGACAAAAGAAAGGCGGGTGAACCATCGAAGGGGGCAAATTTTACTGTAGAACATAGTTCATGTAGCATCGTGCAGTGGTGTCGTAGACCATGAAATATAATAATTACATTTTAGTTTCATTTGATAATATTATTATGTTTTATAGTTTTTTTTTTTTTTTTTTTTTTCACACATTAGTTTCATTATAGCAATACTAAAGTATCATTTGATAATATATATTATTGCATAAACTCTATTTTTTGTTTCATTTTTCACAAACACTAGTTTAATTATAGATTTATAGTAATGCTCCCACATATTAGTTTCATTATAGCAACACTAAAGTATTATTTTAATTATACTATAGTTTCATTTGACAATATACGCTATTGAATGAGCTTTGTTTTTTTAGTTTCATTTTTCACACATACTAGTTTCATTATAGTAACTGATGTGGCTAAATATACTAAGGTATACAAATACGCCTAAATACGATCTTAAGGCTAAGTATATGGGCTCGGGTAATTGCGATAGTGGGTCGGACGATCCCGAGCTAATAATAGGTTCAGTGGAAATCCAAAAGTCCCCCTATATGCGTTTAATGTGCTATTTATAGAGTTGGGAGGGAGCACATGCCGGTCGCCCGATGTGCTTGCCACGTGTTCTGCTTGCATTGGTCAGGTCAAGGACACTTCTAGTGGGTATACGTGGGTAACGATTCCTGACAAGCTCATTTATAATGAGATCGATATCACGAATTGTAAGATGGATCAAGGGAAGAAAAGAAAATAATGTTCTATTGATTTCTGTTATCACAGTTTTAGCTTCTATATCTATACATCATTTATATGAGAAAAGAAGAAGAATAGCAGTTGAGTAGTAAACTAATTAACTGCCTCTAACTACCTAACAACTTTCTGACTAGCCTTGACTAGTAGTAGGCTTGTCCTCTAATACCCCCCCCCCCCCGGCAAGCTGGAGTGTACATGGAATGAAGCCCCAGCTTGGAAACAAACTATTGAAATGACAGAGGTTGTAATGGCTTGGTTAAGATGTCAGCTGTCTGGTTGTCAGTGGAGATGTGTAGTATCCTGATGATGCATTTTTTAAGCTTCTCCCTTATAAGATGACAATTAATCTCTATATGTTTTGTTCTTTCGTGAAACACTGGATTTTCAGCAATAGCTATTGCTGATTTACTGTCAGAATATAACACAACAGGCCCCTCCATTTTTACTTCCAATGTTTCAAGCAGGTAGATCAACCATTGGATCTCACAGGTAGCAAGAGCCATGACCCTGTATTCTGCTTTTGAAGATGATCTGGATATAGTTCCTTGCTTTTTGGATTTCCAGGAGATTAAAGCCTCTCCTAAGAACATACAGAAGCCTGTTACTGATCTTCTAGTATCAATGCAAGCAGCCCAGTCTGAGTCTGCAAATCCTCTTAACTTGAGACTTGATTCTGCTGGAAAGAATAAGCCTTGGCCTGGGGAGTTCTTCACATATCTCAAAATTCTGTGAGCTGCTTGGAGATGATCAGTAGTAGGCTTGTCTAGGAATTGAGATAGCTGTTGAACTGCAAAGCATATATCTGGTCTTGTTATGGTCAGGTATAATAACTTGCCAATCAACCTTCTATATTGAGAATTATCTTTTAATGGTGCCCCACTGTCTTGGCTCAACTTTGCTGTTTGTATCATAGGAGTTCTCACAGGCTTACTACTCAGAAAACCTGTCTCTTTAAGGAGGTCCAAGGCATATTTTCTTTGATTAACAGCAATTTCTTTGTGAGTCCTAGCAACTTCAAGCCCAAGGAAGAACCTCAGATTGCCTAGATCCTTGATTTGGAAAGTAGAATGGAGATGATTTTTGATCTGCTGAATTTGATCCTTGTCACTACTTGCAAGTATAACATCATCAACATACACCAACAAGGCCACAAAACTGTTACCTGACCCCTTTGTGAATAAAGAATTATCACAAACAGCTTTTTTAAAACCTAGGGTGATCAGCTCACTTGTGAGCTTAGAGTTCCACTGCCTACTAGCTTGTTTTAGGCCATAAAGAGACTTAGTCAGTCTGCATACTTGCCTTGGATACTGAGCAACAAAACCTGGAGGAAGATGCATATATACCTCCTCATGGAGATCACCATGAAGGAATGCATTGTTTACATCTAGTTGATGTAACTGCCAACCTTTTGCAGCTGCCACAACAATTAGAGTTCTTATGGAAGTGATTTTAGCTACTGGACTAAAGGTGTCAACATAGTCCAGTCCACAGGTTTGAGTGTACCCTTTAGCTACCAACCTGGCCTTACACCTTTCCACAGTCCCATCTGACTTATGCTTGACCTTGTACACCCATCTACAGCCTATGGCTTGTTTGGAGGGTGGAAGGGTTGTTAGTTCCCAGGTTTTGTTGGCTTGGAGGGCATCTATTTCAGCCTGCATGGCTAATTTCCAGCAGTCATGTAGAATGGCTTCATTGTAGGACTTTGGTTCTGTTATGTTCAATATATTTAGGGCAAATGCTTTGAATTTGGGTGAGAGTTTGTCATAGGACAAAACAACAGACAAGATGTGAGGAGATGTTCTTTTGTTGGGTAGTTGACAGTCATAATCTAGGAGATATGCTGGTCTAGTCACATGCCTAGTGGATCTCCTTACTTGTTGTTGATGTGACTCAACTTGGTTGTCACTAATAAAAGGTTCATTCTAGGCTAGCAATATGGCA